TCTTGTAAGAATAAAGGCTTCTTTACTCACTCGTACTAGAGTCATTTCATGCTTCTCGATGCCCATTGCCTCAGCTAGGTGGAACCCGCCCTTGACACGATCCGGGTGACCCCTTGGCCACGCTATTTTCTCGTGGACACGTTTCCGAGATGCTAAGGGGACGACAACACATCAGATCAGCCCATATGACAAGGATGCTTCATCCTACACGTGGTGCTACCCTTCTGAAGACCTGGATGATGTGATAACGACAAAAGTGATTAGCGCGTTTGGGGGTGAAAACTCACCTTCCATCTCCCTATCAAGTTGATCTCTTTCACACTGAAGAGAGGAGAGCGTGCGTTTTGAAGTTTGGACACGAGGCATGGGAGTGGGGTGAGTGATTGAAAAGGGATCGCGGCACAAAACTAAGTTGAATTGACTCTCGCCCCAAATAGAATCAAACAATCCAACACAACGCGTCCAAAGCGCCCTCTGCCCACTGGGGTACACTGCTGCAACAGATCTCATTACTGGGCCAATTCGTTCCTTGTGAGAATATAAATACCCTCGTCATCTTAGTTAAACATTCTGGTGCTCTCTGGCACGCTCTTGGGCATGGCTTTCTACAGTCGCCACACTGGCAGAACTGCAGCGATCTGGGCTTGGGATCCTGGGAATTCAGTTAGCACGGCTCGCAGGCGTCGTGAAGTAGAAAGGTCACTCCTATTAGGCCGTCCGATTCCCCAGAGCTACTATAAGAGACGGAAACTTATTTCTGATCCTGTCCTGGAAGCAACACCAGACACCACAGGAAATTTGCTGCAAGAAAGTGCAGTTGAATGTGAGCGTGGGGCCTCAGAGACCGACCAGATACTTTGTGATGATGATTACAACTTTGTGTGAGTTTTCGCTCTGGGATTAAACAATGGCTTTACATTGTTGTTTGCTACCAGTAATCAACAAAGCGACAATCAGAATGATGCCAAACCATACAGTGATGATGGGTCGGAAGACTTTGCAGGTTCCAGCCGAACATCTCTAGACGAATGGATGGAAGTGTCAGAGTACAGCCCGGTTAAGTCCGGACTGCTTACACACAACTGATGACACACCTGCCCCATACCCGCACAGCCTGATCATCATCCCCGGACTGGCACAGACATTTGTTATATTTCCTTCTGCAGAGCGGCCCCGCTTCGCTGGGTATACTGACTTTATCATTCCCTGGGTAGCGAGTGAGGAAGATAACTTTCTTCTCTCACTTCCCCTCGCTGCTCAGGTATGTTGTACATAGTATATACAATGATATGATCTCACTTCCCCTCACTGCTCAGCTGGAATCCCTATCGCAATCCGCTTTGCCGGGTTCCCCCATTGAGACTGATCCTGTCCCCCTCGGCCTCAGCTCCAGCGAAGGCTCGGGATCCCTCGACTTAGAGTCCGAGCAGCTCGGTACCCTGACAGGAAGCTGTTGAGAGATATAAGGCAGATGCAACTTTGCAGCGATATAACCAATTTTGTGTGCCCTATTTCCTTGAATTTTTATTGCCCGTCAAACCTGCCAATGTCCAGATAACCAACCCCTCTCAGACTTGGACTACAAGAACCTCAAGATGTTCGATGTTCTGATCCGCAGCAACATGTCCAGCTCAACATACAACATCATTCGGTCACGCTTCAAAGAACTTCAACTGAAATCACTGTATCAACTTCACTCGAACATGTCAAGGCTCTCTCACGTCATAGAGTACTCATATGACTGTTGCATCAACAGTTGTTGCTGTTTTTCATCCAAACTTTCCAACCTTGATGCTTGTCCACACTGCAGTCAACCACGCTTCAGACCAAATACCCATGTTCCCCTCAACACTTTCCATTATCTCCCAATAGGGCCTCACCTCAAGGCCCTTTATCTGAACCGACACTTTGCTAAACTACTAAAGTATCGCGGGACTCTGGACCTGGGCATGGCAACTATTGACGATGTCTTTCACGGGGCTCACTATCTTGGTCTACTGCAACAACAGGTCAAAATAGATGGGCAGCAACACCAGCACCGCTTCTTCAGCGACCATCACGATGTTGCCCTGGGCATCATGATGGATGGATTTCAGGTATTCAAGCGCCAGCGTGATGGCAGCACAACTTGCTGGCCTATCATTGCAATCAACTTCAATTTGCCACCTGAGGAACGAACCAAACTTTCGAATATCCTTCCACTGGCAATAATTCCAGGACCAAAGGCACCGAAAGACTTTAATTCCTTCCTACAGCCACTTGTTGATGACTGCAAGCAACTGGCGCAAGGAGAGTGGGCATTGGATGTAGCTTCAAATGAGACTTTCAAGCTGCGTGCCTACCCAATTTCTTGCCATGGTGATATGATTGCTATGAAGCACTTAATGAACTTTAAGGGCCCTAATGGCATCTTTCCTTGTCCGGTTTGCTGCATCAAGGGTACTAGGAACCTTGACGGCGCAACAACTCACTATGTTCCTCATGCGCCTCCTCATGACCAGCCCCGAGTCTGCAATACATACTGGGATACTTCGGGTGGCTTGCTTCGTTCTGAGTCTGACTACTGGCACACCCTCTCAGAAATCGCTTCCCTTCAAGGTGGTTCCAGAGGCTCGAAATCGAAGCTTTCCCATATTCAACAACAGTCCGGTATCAATGGGAACTGCGTACTAACTGAGCTCCCATCTATTTCAATATCTTCCTCTTTCCCCCGTGACTGGATGCACCTGTGCTTAGAAAATCACTCAAAAAACTTAGTCACACTATGGCAAGGAAAATATAAAGGGTTGGACGAAGGAAGTGAAAGCTATTGTATCCCGGACAATGTCTGGGAAATAATTGGAAAAGAAACAGCTCTGGCTGGCAATACAATACCTTCATCTTTTGGACACCGTACCCCCAACATCTGGAGTGAAAAACACCTTTTCACAGCTGAAGATTGGGCTTTCTGGATGGTCCACATCGTGCCATATGTCCTCAGAAACCGCTTCAACCGTCCCAAGTACTACAAACATTTCATGAAATTTAACTCAATCCTTAAACGCACAATCCAATATTCTTTCATGGAGCAAGATCTGGATGAGCTTGAGCAGGACATTGTTGAGTATGTGAAAGAATATGAAATGTCAGTTCTCTCATTGTTTAAGTTGCGTGCATGACATATTTGCTTTTTGTCATATCCATGCATACCCGACCCCGACCTGACTTCCAGACCTCCACCCTCTTCACCTCCAGAGTCATAACCTACCGCTGCCGTTCCAATACTCACCTTCGGTCTTGGCAACACACCTCCTCCTTACCCCCCACGCCACCTCTACTCCTCCTCCTCCTACTCCACTGCCCCCTCCGCAATGCCTCCACCCTCCCGTAATCCTCCTACGCTTCCCCCGTCCGCTCCGATACTCGCCTTCGGTCCTGACAACCCTCCTCTCCGCCACTCCTTCCCCCTTACCTTTCCCCTCTCTCCTCCCTCTGGTACTCCTCCGCCACCCTTCCGCCAAGTTACGACCTTCCGCTACTGTCCCGTACTTCCTACGTGGACGCCAATCATATCTCTGCTCCGAGCCTCCGTCATAGTCCCGACCTCGGACTTTGACTCCACCTCGGTCTTAGTCCATTGCATTGGTGACCTCATACTACGTAAACACCATTGCCAATATCCCTCGGACTTTCAACCCCACTTCCGTAACCCCCGTAAGCTCCACAACCCCCGAGCTTCGCAGATCGCCTTCGGCACTCTCGCCGCTTGTAATGTATCTCTCACGTTTACCCCTCATCCCTATTTGGACTACTGCTTCTTCCCATTCTAGCCAGTAGTCATCATCCCCACTTCTCCTCATCCTCCTGCCCCTCTGGGCCTTGCCCTCCCTACCTCCTTTCGGACGTGATCACAGGTCCTTCCTTATGACCTTTCGGTACCATTCCGCTCCTTCTTCCCTTTGTCCCTGTTCGGATGTCTTCATTCCGATTCGGTTCCCCTTTGTTTCCTTGTGCCTTTGCCCTCCCATTATATATATCGGCGCTTGTACATACTCGTGGGTTCAGTCCGAAATCGCCCTGAAATGCCCTCTAGAGACTTCCTGCTCACCTACTGTGAAATTAAGGACCAAATGGACAAACAGCAATGGCACAGCGCTCCGCTTGAGTCGCTGAGGCCAAGGTCCCTCCACGCTAAGTCTCCGATTCCACTCCGGAGTCGTCTGAATCCGCCCATCTCTAACACTTTTCCAGTATTTACTACCAGTTCTCCACACAATGACTGTCTACCTGCCCCCTCACGCTGCATGCGCTTCTTCATATCCCATACAACATCCGAAACAATGGGCCACCATGTAACAATTGGACCTTTATCATGGAGCGGTAGGGGTGCCGTGGTCCGGTTCGGTTCGGTCTTGAGGTAATTTTGAGGACCAGAACCGGGACCGGTCCCAAAATTTGACTGTCATGTCGAACCAGGACCGAACCATAATGGGACCGAACCAAACCGCGGTTATGGTCCTCTTACGGTTCGGTTCGGTCTTGGGACCGTTCAACCCAATCTCATATCACCCACTATAATTATGATGAAATGCACACATATAGGATATCAGGAACATGTATCATCAACTAAGCAAGATTAGTCCCCTTGTTCCAACATGAGTTTTGCCTTAGATTCCCACCAAGGATTGCCACGAAGCTACAATGGCGAGGGTGTATATACTGTTCAAATTTCTCCAATTTTCCTCGCCACCCTGAATGTGCTGAAACATTGTAAAATCTCCGGAGCGCTAAATGAAATCTTTTACAAATGCTGATACGGCACTGTATTTACACATAATTAATCTTCTGGTCCTGCGGTTCGGTTCGGTTCGGAACCGGTCCCAACTATCCTCCAGCTTTCAGGACCAGGACCGAACCATTGCAGAACCGAATCCGGACCGAACCATGGTCCGGTCCCATTATGGTTCGGTCCTCGGTTCAGGACCGGTTCAAACCAGTCCTCCAAGGACTTCGGCACCCCTATGGAGCGGTGGTGTGGCTCACTTTTACCTGCCATCAAGTCTCGAAAGGAGCCGTTCACATGCCTTGCACTAAGACAGTACCAGAAAGCGCAGTTATTCGAGGTTGTCAATCGGTACAACTTAGTTGAGCTGATGCCACAAAGGCGGGATATGGATGTCCCTTCACGGTACGAGCAACTGTTTAAAAAGTCCGCTTGTGAGTCCTTCCCTTGTTCCAGTTATTTCAGCTAACTCCATTTATGCAGATCTAATATCTTTTTTACGCAAACCTGTCGTCCAGCAATATATCCCTGACCTATCTATTCGAAAAAATATCGCCAAGCATTTGACGACATCTTTCGGTGGCTTGATCGGGTCCTGGCTGGATATCCTGCTACCAACAATGCCACGTTGGGCGAAAGTTCGCATCGGAAATGGAGGCGATCTTATTCGAGGGGCCGTTGGGCAGATGACTGGCCAGTGGGCCTTCCGTGATGCTTCCTTTGTTCGTGTATGTGATCATATCTTTGTCTGCACATCCAAACTGCTATTGAACTTCTCCGTTTATGACAGTATGAATTGCATGCTGATGCAAATGTGCACCGTCCACGAGCTAAAGAGAAGTTTGTTCGTACTGTCTACTATGGGCGTCTCGAATATATCCTACAGTGCACCATCCCACCAAATCCCATATCCAAAAATACCGAACCCGAAATCGTTCTTCTTGCTGTTGTGACCACTTGTGGTACACAGGGACGCGATGCCACCCTAGAGCTGACGTATTTCAAGGCCGTCACATCGTACATTGAAATCGTCGACCTGGCCTCCATTTGCGCAGTGGTTGGTCGCATCCGAATCAGTGTGGTAGATCCTCAATGGGCGATTGTTGACCTCAGCGGTTCCTGGGCTCGCACCGTATTCACAGATGACTCGCTAGCTGCAGGTGTAGATGTATCCCAGCGAAGTGAACTCTGATGGAAAATGAACTCGGATCAGCGCTGCTGCAACCCCACATGCGCGCTATGCGCAAGCCAGCAAAGACTCTTTTTTCTGTATTATTCCCCTTATAATTGCGTTTGTCCTGGCCCTCGCAACCTTGGGACTGATGTGCTTAGATACTGAATGAAGTCTTATTTCGCTCCTAGTAACTTGAGTCTACACAAGATAAAATCGTGCTCTATTCGGCCTCCAGCGAAGCCGTGGCGACGGTCTGTGGAATGACATGATTAAAATCGTGCTCGGCGCAACCTCTGCTAAACCGAAGGTGAGAGTCCCTGGAATGACACGATGGTCGAAAAAATCCTGCCTCCAATAATCCTACAGTGGTGCGGGATTTTCCACGAAATCCTGTTGCGTTACACGGTTTTATCGTGGAATCACTTTTCTCAGTGTTGTACGTACGCCACGTACTTGGATTGTTGACGGAATAACGTCGAGGCAATCGGCCTGGCCCCATCGTAGGGATGATAACAGCAAGCACTCATTTTTTATTCAGTGGCTGGTGGCAGGTGCAACACTTAACAATGTAAGTATTCACACCGCGGGGATCTGACCGTTCCGCCGCGTCCGCACTCGTAGGGTAGGCTGACTACGACTTTGTCACATCAACTTTTGTCGTTCCAAGTGGCAATTCCGAGTCGATCGACCGATCCGAATAGGTGGCAGTTTATTATGAACGGTTAGCCTTTCCTGCAGCGGTGGGCACCATCACGTACCTGGGAATAATGGTGAGTCCCGCAGTTTATGACGCTGTTCGGATCGTTTGCGAGTCCAATGAAACAAGCGTACTAGTACGTTGGGCAACACTGGCAACACATTCTACTGTATCTCCGGGAGCAGCCAGATGGACCTTTTTTTGTTCATTGTTTATCCTTTGCAGTATGTACCCTAGCTTCTTGGATCGTCATGCATGTATATATACGCTGCAGTATGTACAGCTCATCATGAGCCGGATGGACGTCAAACATCTTAGATGCCGTATTTGCTCGCAGATCGCCCAATAAAAATACTGATATATATATATGATCATCCGTTAATAATGTTTGGGCGCGGGGGCTTCGGTTCGTAAAATAATCAATGATTACAGAAGGTAGTTGGCAGGACGTGACTCGCAACGTTGAGAGGGGTTCGACAAGTATGGGAGGGGTGAACTCCGGCATATAGACTATCGGAAAAGTACCCTGCTAGCAGGTAGTCCAGAGTTGCTAGGGTTCTGACCTGTTCTACCACCCAAAACCTTGAGAACTACAGGGACCCTCGGAATTGAATTGAATCTGATTCACATTTCGAAGGATCTGTGGGCAGACTTTGCCGATGCAGAGCAGGCCAGGAAGTTCATGATGGATTGTGTCACCGCATGCATCCGAAGCTGTCTTTTTCTATTGAAGCATGCATGTTGAGTGCATACAAAGGGTCAGTTTTCGGGGATCAGCGTCGTAAAAGTCCGAGGGAAGCAGCGCGCGTAAATAGCTATAGAAATTTATGTGACTATGAAATCGGGCTGGCGGGCGTACTAAACACTTTGTTCCTCCACATTAGGAGCGTTCTCTCTCTCCAGGTGAATACGACGGCGAACTTGCTCACTCACTATCGACTTGCTCGGTCTTACATTCCTTAGTCTCATTCTTCCATTTTCACCGGTCGTAGCACGACCCTTTAAGCCATGACCTCAACCCCAAATAATTCTGAAAAAGTCGCGATCGAAATAAGACGTTCTTTCGAATCCTCTGAACCCGCCGATAGGCGACAACTAACACCCGCCGTCTATCCGCCATACACGCCCGAAGAAGAAAAGGCGCTTATTAGAAAAGTAGACTATCGACTGATACCGTGGCTGTCTTTTCTTTACCTGTTATCCTTTCTCGACCGAACGAGTATCGGGAACGCTTCACTGTATGGGCTGAAGAAGGATCTGAAGATCAGTGATCAGCAGTATTTGTGGGCGTTGACAATTTTCTTCTTCTCGTACGCGACTTTTGAGGTGAGGAGAAGGATATTTGTGTGTTGCAGGGTATTATGACTTATGAGCCTTCACGTACAAGTAGGTGCCGAGCAACGTGTTGCTGAAAAGACTCAAGCCTCATCTGTGGTTGAGCTTTCTGATGATCGCTTGGGGGATCGTGATGACGTGTCAAGGGCTCGTAAAGAATTGGAGAGATCTAATGGGTATGTCAAGATTGAGTTTCCGCCTTCACGCTCACAACTCGTTGCACCCTCGTGCTGACCGAACATTTATTTGACCTCTCACTTGTATTTGTGCATGTGGATCCCTGCGACGCCAGCCGTCCGGTTTCTCCTCGGGATGGCGGAAGCAGGCCTTTTCCCCGGTGTCAGCTACTACCTCAGTTGCTGGTACAAACGTTCCGAATTCGGGCTTCGAGTCGCGATATTCTTTAGTGCTGCGACGGCATCGGGAGCGTTCGGTGGATTATTGGCGGCTGCCATTAGTCAAATGCATGGTGTTGGTGGTGAGTGCTTGGCTTCTTTGCTCTGACCCGATTGGTCGATTTTGGTCTCGGCACATGAGGTAATCATGACACTGATTGACTATTTTTGGAATCGTTGGATAGGTAAACCGGGATGGGCGTGTAAGCTTTTCCTCGATTTTCAAATTCGCGGTTTATCAACTCCAACTCATTATGATTCACGGGGATTGAATAGGGATCTTTATTTTGGAAGGATTGATCACGGTCGTGGCGGGTATGATGTCATACTGGCTTGTCGAGGACTTTCCTGATGACGCCAAGGTAAGTTCGCAACAATATGTTGTCTTTTTCGTCCCTGGTGTCTGATGACTCTGCCGTCCTTGCTAGTTCCTCACCGATCGTGAGCGAGCCTTCATTATCGGCCGACTTCAGACGGATGATCAGTTTAGTGCCGGTGGTGAGGCCTTTAGCTTCAAATATGTCTGGAACAGTCTCATGGATTGGAAAACTTGGTTGGGAAGTGCGTTCCTTTTTTATGTCCTTTTCTTCCCGTCTAAACACCATAACTACTGCTTCGCCTGATAGTGCTCTGCTATGCCGGCTGGGTCGGTCCTCTCTATGCCTTCGCGCTCTTCGCACCAAGTTTCATCAACCAACTAGGCTACCGCGCTACACCTGCTAACCTCCTCTCGGTACCCATCTACGTCTGGGCAGCTATACTTACCGTAGGAGTCGGTTATATGGCTGATAGGACTGGTCACCGAGGGTGGTATAATTTGGGATTTTCCTCGTTGGGAGTTGTGGGATATGCGATTTTGATTGCGAGTCGACATGCAGGGTTGAGTTATTTCGCTACTTATTTAGCAGCGAGTGGGATTTATCCTGTGATTCGTGAGTCGAGTACTTTCCTTGGAGGCTAGAATCTAGGCTAATTGACTTTCCGCAGCGAATACCTTGTAGGTACTTCAAGGACGGCTGTGGTGTGGGCTATTGATATGATTCATTTTATCTTCATAGGGCATGGATGAGTAATAACGTCGAAGGGTCCTATAAACGCTCCGTCTCTTTGGGAATGATTATCAGGTGTGTATTTATTCTTAATGGCTCACCGGTGGTCGCATCTTATTAACCCCCAAACAGTTTTGGAAACATCAACGGAGCTGTTAGCTCGAATATCGTACGTACCCCAAGCATATCCAACTTTACATTTAATTCTCATCACGCCCACAAATTGCAACAGTACCGTGCCAAGGACAAACCATGGTATCGCCTGGGTCACACCATAGTCCTCGTCTACATCATCATGGGGATCATCACCTCCCTCCTCTTCCACTTCTTTCTCGATAGAGAGAATGAGAAAAGAGATCGAGGCGAAAGGGACGAGAGGATATTGGACAGATATGAGAGTGAGGAAGTGGCGAAGAGGGAACATCATGGGATGGGAGGCACGTTTGTGAGTTTGGATGAGGCGAGAAGGGAGAAAGGGGATGAGTGGAGTGGGTATCGGTACACATTGTAAGATTGGTGGGGTGTTGGCCTGATCATGAGGTGGTGACAGTGGTGAGGGTTTGACATCTTCTGCTTCAACTTGTTTTGCGTGGAAACTGTTTGCACAAACGGGCATGGAAGTTTTAAAGTGTGAAGCTGTGTCGTGCGTTGGCTCAGACTCGTATCACTATCAGAGATCTAGAATGTACTCCAAGTGACCTTAAAAACCAGGTAATTCAATGTGTTTGCTCATGGTCAATTGTACACAGCTCTCAAGAGTCCGAGCATGGGAAGATGCCACATTACTCATTCAAAATCACAAACCATGTGTAGCCCAACGTCACCTTCTCATGCATACTACCAATGCAGGGGGCTGAGAGGGGGGCGCAGTAGAAGGCTTCGTTGCTTCGTCACTATTAGTAAACTTCCTGGGTGAGATGCAAAAGATGATCTGAATACTAGCAATTTGGTATCATACTGTTAAAGGTCAAAAATACACAGTTCACCGATCAATCCAGCTACACACCAGTATACCATATGAACCCAGTAATATGACGCATTACTCCTGCTGTGACTTATGCCAAATGCAACGGCGAGAACAGCCAAGAAAAGAACGATGCTCTCAAAGGGATCAAAGAGGAATATGAGAGGTTTCCCTATGATCTACCCGAGAATGACGAGAAATCTAGCAGAGAGGTAACTCAGTTACCGTGCCTCCCATAAAGGGGGGGGTAAAACAACTCGGCGCACAGAATGAAGAGGAGGGAAATCTGGATCGAGGATCCAACGGCCACACGACAGTAACGAGTTCGGCGACATCCCCCAACAGAGGCAGAAGAATGAGACCTGCCCATTCAGCGGGGATGTAACTAGAGGCTGGTAACCTGCCTAGGATGTAACCCCATTCCGTTAGCCCATCGATAGAGATAACGAGGGCAGCATGGTGATAATTACGAGCTGCGAAGAGATAAGATAAAGCGAATCGAAGCAAAAAGGCACAGTGTGTATGGCCAAAAGTCCAATCGCATTCGTCACAGTCAGCTGTGGAGTCTTCTCATCCTC